AAGTCTCGTACGAAACGCTCGTTTTGGAGACTTGGCGCTTCACTTTTCGAGGAAGTCTCGAACGAAACGCTCATTTTGGATGGCGCTTCACTTGTGGTCAGACGTGGCCAGTTTGTAGTGCAAATGTAGTGCGGGAAAGAGCTTTTCGGAGCTGGACTCAGAAGTGGCCAGTTTGTAGTACAAATGTAGCACGGTCCTTTTTGGAGCTGGACTCAGAAGTGGCCAGTTTGTAATACAAATGTATAGTATGGGGCGAATTCATCCGTGATGTCGCAGCGCCATGTGGATTTGCGTGGCCTTGGTGGAAAGTTTGCGCGGCGCCGTGCCACTGGGAGCGCGAAACATGCTGGCGTAAACGAGGCGTGTCGCTGGTGAGCGGGATTATCGTGTGATAGGATTGCTTCTAGTGTGTGGGCAGACCGTGTGGCGAATTACGTCCATCATGTCGCAGTGCCATGCGGATTTGCGCGGCCTTGGTGGAAAGTGCGTTTGCGTTGCACCGTGCCACTGGGGAGCGCGAAACATGCTGGCGTAAACGCGGCGTGTCGCTGGTGAGCGGGATAAATTGGCGGTATCGTGTGATAGGATTGCATCTAGTGTGTGGGCAGACCGTGCGGCGATTTACGTCCGCGATGTCGCAGTGCCATGCGCGCTCATGGCCCACAACGCTGCGCTGCCGTTGCATCTGCGCATCTACGTCTACACCCCCTCACCTCCACACACCCACACACCTGCACATCTATATCACATCTGTACATCCACACTGTCACTCCTTCACATCCGCCTTCTCTTTCTTTCTTTCTACATATCTTTTCTCTCACCTCTGTACATTTACATCTTCACACGCTCACATCTGCAGATCTACCTCTCCACCTCCACACATCTGCACATCTATATCGCACCTGCACATCCACACTGTCACTCCTTCACATCCGCCCTCTCTTTCTCTCTTTCTACATATCTTTTCTCTTCATATGTTAAATCTAATTTCTTCGCAACTTCTTACTGAATAACAAATTGTATAAGAAGTCATGGCTCTTGGACAACTCGATTTTAACTATTTCATGCCTCGACAGTGCTGGACAATCACCTGTCTCACTCTCGGGCCAACCGTCGTCTAGTTAAGTTTTCTTTGGAGATGACATGACATTGATAGGGTTGTGAAAGTTGTGCTTTTGCAAGGTCTTGTTGGTTTTTGCAGTTGGCATGACATTGATGGAATGTTGCCTTTTTCGAGTGAATGGCCATATTGCGCTGCTTGACAAAGTACAAGACCTTGAAGGAATGACGAAGGTGCCGGGCCTCATTGAGAAGGCGTGCGTAGTTCCGGAACCAGCTGACCACCTGCTCGGCAGCAGACAAGTTGATGCCTTTGAAACGCTTGCCGGGGCGCTTCACACGCAAGGGGTTGTAAGCGCAGGCCTTCTTGCGCCGCAAAGCATTGAAGTGGTCAATGGCCCAGTATTTGAGCTGTTTCAAGTCAGGGTCTTTCTTGGCCTGGGGCGCAAAGCCATGACAAATCCATCCAAGTTCTTGTACTTCAGCAAGGTTTTGAGCAAAGAATTGTGTACAATGAGATTGTTTTCGGGCTGGTTCATGCATGACACTGCAAGAACTCGTTGATCTCGAGGATTTACCAGCATGAACCATCCATGTCCATAAGGTTTTGGCTTGCCGTTCTTGCGGGGACGACCTTGGTGTGTGGCCCCTGCTCCGCACTTGACATGGACCTTGGACGACCTCAAACACCTTGGCACGCTGTGCTGTGGAAGGAGTGAAGATCTTCTCGTGCAAGTGCAAGAAGGAGTCATAGGCTTGCAAAGATTCAAGGGAGAGCTTGCCAATGCTGATGTCCTTGTGTAAGTTCAAGGGGGCCAACTCATTCAAAGTCAACCAATACATCAGCGCATCTCCGCGCAGCTTGCGGAATTGCTGTTCCTTGCATGAATGACCAAAGACACTCTCATAGACATCCTCGGCCGCACGGGCAGGCACAGCCGCGCGAAACTCCAAGCCCATATGGTACTTGAGGTAGTTCACAGCAACAAATGGACAGGCTGGACAGGAGACATAGGTCTGAACTTTTTGTTTTTGGTTTTGGGGCACTTGTTAGTCTGAACTTGTTGTTTTTCTTGGTGTGCCTATTCTTTCAGAAGCGTTTTTGCATTTGCTAATGTTTACATAGCACTATCCTTACAAAAACCTGCGTGTCTACAATTTACACCACTCCACCCCCCTTGGCTACCCCTTCTGTATTTTTCAATGCAGGAATGAACTTGTGACATCTTTAAGTGCGCCCCAGTCAAAAGCTTATATAGTATATTTAAACCCTCTAGAAAATAAAGCATTGAACATGGAGACAAACTTTGAGGATAAATTTTGGTCGAGCATCATTAGCATCAGCAGCGTCTCAGCAGGAAAGATGCAAATCCTTTGGTGTGTGCTAGGCATAAAACACTGTAAATTACAATGTTTTTGCAAAATGTATATAGCTTATGAACAATGCTGCTCGCACTCTGGTGATGCCAATGGTGCTCGACACAAATGCTACCTCAAAACTCCCTCTCCCCTTTGGATACTTTCTTCTCTAGAGATAAAGCTTTACAGTAGACCTTTTTGATCAGCTTTCCTCTGCTTTTGACGTTTTTTGCCGAACATACATACGTCCTGGTGATGCTCAAAATGTCGGTTTGCAGGCCGTGTGCGTGCGTGTGCCCGCGTGCGTGTGCGTTCGTGTGCGTACGTGTGCTGGTGTACATGTGCGCACGTGTGTCTGAAGCTGAGGTTGCCAGGCTTTTTACATCAGACCCTCGTGCGCACACCTGTGCGGGAGTGTGTATGCGCACGCGTCAGAAGCTGTACTAATTGTCCATTTTGTTGTGCAAAGACCCTGCGGATACGCGCAGTGCCCCCAAGGGCGTCGCCGGTTGGCGAAGCCTGTCAGTAATATAATACTAATACTATATAATACAACATATTATGTATAATACAATATACTGTAAATATCCTTATAATATTGCTTTATATCTGTTTGCGTTTTGAAATCTAGGGTCTTGTTGATATCAGGTCGATGATGCAGGTCGATGTCTCACAATTTCACAAGCGGGCTCCGGATGCCGGAAGTGGTTTGGGCCACGGTGGGGGTCAGGGTTAAAAGGAATTCCATAGAGAAAACAAGGCCCATTGTGGTTCTTCAACGCAAGTTGCCCTTAGAACTTCAGGACAAATCAAGAAGTGAATCGTAGTCAATCCTTTCTGGTTAGCGTCTTGGAGGTCCTTTTCTTCATACGAATGTTGATTGCTTTTGTCATGGATTTACAACCACTTCTGTAACTCGGATGGGCTCGGATTTGCTCGGATGCGACAGTCGGATGCGTCCACGTGCGTCCCAAAAACGGGGGAGAACGTGCCCAGCCAAAACACACCAGAGCCTATTGCAATGGGGGGGTTTCGGACTGATTATTGGTTGTTGGCAGGGTCCATCATGTTGGGCAGTTCACGACTCCGGAGATGATGCACCTGTTCGGTCAAGAATCCTCAAATCGGCCGAACGGCCATCTCAAGGATCTAACCAGCATTCTGTGAACAAAAGGAACACCTCTCACACATTGCTTGGGACACCCCACGCTGCAAGAGCCTTCTGCCAAGGAGGCCTCCAACAAAGACAGCGCCACGGTCCATTGCCTGGCGCATCCCCTTTTCATGATCACGGACATGAGGGGGGGGAGCACCAGCGGTTTAAAACCAGGTATAGCCAACTCCGTGAGCACCAAGAAATGGAAGGATGGATGCCAAGATCTCGGAAGATACATTTGTCATAAGACCAGCCTGGCTGCGGTTTGCTTCACAAACACGTGAATGTCCAACTCGGGGAAAAACCCTTTGGCAGCCCCCAAAAAAAGGAACTGAGGACCCTGACCTGCTCAACTCCACTCTCTCTCTCTCTCTCTCTTTCTCGCAGTGTGTGAGCCACATACTTGTCGCATCTTGTTGCAACCTCTATGCAAATGCCGCAAATGTTGAGTCTCTACTAGGCCGCCTGTGGTTCCTCCAGACCTCGAAAGCCTTAGCATGCTCAGAACTTGTTGTCTTTAGTTCCGTGAGGGTTCGAGATCGACGACCTGAAAGCTGTACCCGCTTCGAGGCCACCACGTCCGGCCCGCGTCATCGCACGGCGGACTGCCCCCGACCACACAGAGAAGGCCGCATCGACGCTGCTTCCGCCCGCCCCACCTGGAGTCCTTGCAGCTACCGATGAGCTCTCCATAGGTGACCTGCGGGTTTTCATCTGCGATGCGCCATTCTGATTCGCAGGCTTGGCGAAACTGAGGGAATCGGATCACCTCATCGCAAACACACCAAGGCACGTGTTCCCTCTTGGATGTGTTCTGTTCGTTCTTGCCGTTGGGGTTGTTGTCTTTTGAAGCTGGACATAGGGGCACACCTTTGATGATGTTCCTCAAATCGCCAATGGGGAGCACAGTTTGCAGCCATGGCTCATATGGTTAGCACCGATGAAAAGCATCCCAGTTCAGTTATTCAGGGACCGTGAACCACCAACAGGGCGGGTCAGCGGAATCAGCGAGATGCACATGTGTGAAAAACACCCCAAAACTGCTTGAAGATCCAGATCCAAGTGTGTAGTATACTCCATGTTCTCATTTGACCATCCGCCGGTTGAGAAGAAGCTATCAGTACCCCAAGCCGGTAGAAAAGGAAACCGGCCACCAACATGTGTTCATGTTTTGAAGTCCCAGCAAGACCTTTTTCAAAACAGGAGAAGCTTCACCATTGTTCAAGACCGTTTTCGACTAGGTATTTAAAAACGTACAAATCCAACAAGACTGTACGTCCAAAGCCCGGTTTCGGGTCCTATTTTGGATTTGGGAGGGGCCTGAGCTTCCTCTGTCACAGTGACACCGAAGTTCGACGATGTTCGACGCTCCGCCTGTGAAGCCATCACCTGCTTCTTGCTCATCCGCTCGCCGAACGCGAGCGCCTTGAAGACCGAGCATCCGAAGGAAAGGATGAAGATGGAAGACCTTTCTGGGCCCAATTCTTGCAGACTCGTCTAGCTACTTCTGATGTGCCTTAGGCTTCCAAATCCTGACTACTGTAGCTGTCATCGACTCCTGCCCGCCAGAATTCGACCACATATGTGTGCCCAAGTTGACCAGAGCAAACCTCAACAAGAGATAAACTTCGCCCGCTATTGTCGCTCGTTTTCCACAAAATTGATCAGGAATCTCCTCCAGTGCTTGGCAGATTTGGCACGCTGGGAATTGGAGAACGTGGACAAACATCTTCCGCGGTCCTACAGGGTTCCGCCAAACAAATCATCTAAGTTCAAAAACGTTGAACAAATCCATGTCACGAGCCAGCTCGTAGTTCTATGTACTTGCATGTATTTGCAGGGTGTCTCGGGGCCCAGGGCCTCCGCGTCAAGCCAGATGCGCCGTCAATTTCTGGTGTTCTGACCCTGGATTCGATCAGACTCTTAGCCCATCATGTGGTGAAAGATCCAAAAGATTGAGAACAAAAAAGTTTGTTTAAATATATATATATATATATTGTTATTATATAATAATAATAAAGTAACAATAATAATAACAAACAAACAAACAACAAGTTCATGGTGCCAATCAAGGGACCCAGTGGTCTCTTTGTCTCTTCGATCCAAAAAAAAGGAATTGGACAACGCCCGTTTGTGGACGGGTGAAAACCACGGTCCGTCCGTGGGACCTGTCTGGGACTGGAAGATATGGTGCCCCCATTGAATTGAGGTCAACCACCCCGAGGTTGGCAACTATTATGGCAGTCCCATGGAGCATCTGGGTACCATCATATACCTGTTTCCATTCGTGGCGGTTTCGTGGCCCACCATGTTGATTTAATAGCTTGAATCCCAAAGAACCCATTGCTTTTAACCCAGGGTGGAAAACACTACAAAGCCAGATCAACCATTTAAGAAAGAAGGTCTGACCGACTTCCAGGGTATTGCTTGTACACTTGAAGGTATCCCCTCTATTTATCAACTAACCAATAGGCCGACTATGGTTCAGGTCTTGTTGGAGGACTGCAGGACTCCTCTAAGAGGGCACCACTTGCCGCACCGAACGTGAAGCACCTCCCGGCCCGGAACATTCGAGAAAACGGGAACTCACGTTGTTTGTGGAAACCACCGTGTTCGTACAGGAAAAATTCTCGTCCAGTGATTCCAATGGTCAATTGGTTGGGGCTGACACACATGCCATCACGGATCATAGCGAAATCTACCCGCGTGGGGATGGGACTTGCCATCTTCTTAGGTACAAGGGAATATTTACCACTTCCATGTTGGTGGGTCAGAGGGTAACCATACCAAATTGCAAGTCAAAGAGATGGAACATATATGCCAAATCTAAGGGAATATGCTCCTGTTACCAAAAAAATACCCAGTACACATCACGGCCTCCCCAAATACATATGTCATCTGTGTCCGTCTGATCAAATCCAAATCCAAACACGCCTGAGAACCACCGGAGAACCACCCAGCCACCCAGCCACCCAGCCACCCGCCGGTAGCCGGCGCCTGCTGCCATTGGCCCTTCTCCACCTGAGAGGTGCGGCATCTGAAAGGGTTTTGAATACAAACACCTCTTTTATCCGAGCCAGCACCCCAAAGGATGCATTCTAGACCCCCCCCCGACCCTCTAAGGTTCATCCAAGAACCACCCAGAGCGCGTGGTACCAGAGGAAAGCACTTCCTGCGGTTCCTATGTTGGATGGATCAGAACACACCGATCGCTGAATTCGTCGCCCCACGGCCACGGGCAGGGGCTTCATCATGGGTTACCCCCTCTTCGACGTTCACCCTTTACTAATTCCCTCAAAAAGGTGCCACCTACCAGCACCCTCCCTCCAACAGGTCACCAGCCACTTTCCAAAGCCATGATTGGAGGGTGCTGGTGCAAAGTGTTCGAAGTTGTTCCCCCATCCAAGCCTGCCGATGAGTCTAGTGCCGTCTACTTTGAACCCACTCAAAAGGGGCCGCATGTTCACGCACTTGGGGCCCGACCCACGTCTTGGCTGGGTAGGCTTGGTTTATGATCCAGCTGCTCCAGATTGGTTTCCCCGTATTCCTGATTTTTTCATTTCTGGAAAGAAACAACACCAAACAGTCGATTACGGTGCACGGCCACTCAATGCAACGACCAGTCAACTTTGGCGGAAAGCAAGCATCATACAAACTCAACTTCTGCATCATACAAACTTGTTGAACAGAAGGTGCAGGCCTTGCCCACCAATTGAGAGCGGTTGCTTGTCTTCCTTTGTCTCTGTGGGTCTCGAGCGGCTTGTCAATGCTGCCTCCAACAGATTGGTCTCTCGGCATGTACTCCGCGGCCAATGTGGGAGGCAGAGATGCGTCTAGAGTCAAGCACGAGCGGACAAAACCCACCGAGCAAGGTGCTCAGAGTTAATCCCAAAACCAGTGACAGGCAGCACATGTGACAACCACCATGACAGTTCTCGTGTTCCAGCTTCACTTGTTGGCCATGTGGGTGTGTATTCTAATACGGAGACAGACTGGTCTATTTAATTCTTCCAGGGAGTCGTTGCCTGGGAGGTCTCCCTGTTGGAGCTACACATCCATTTGCACATCGCTTCGCGCGCCGATCGTCTGGGCATTCACCGAATGCCGCTGCATGGGCGCACATCAGTCTCGCGTCACTGCATGATCCGACTTCGAAACGGGCCAAATGGATGACCAACCCAGCAACGACCCCTTGGATGGTTCGGAAAATAGACCCACGTACTTCCTGGGTAGACCATTGCCGACAGGAGGTAGGAGGCGTGAGTCGTGAGGTCACAAAACCCACTTGTTAACCGCATGTGTATTTTTTCGGATTTTAAGATCCAATCTTCCAATGCGGTGCCTTAAACTTAAATATGAAACAGACCTCAGACTTATTTTGACTATCTCATGCTCTTTTTCCAAGTGCCAGGTGGCTTGTGGCACTGTTTATTTTGGGGGTTCAAAGCTGAGATTCGGCAGTTTAATCATATGGGTGTGGTCAAAACCGGGCGTTGACCAGAGAAAATGAACAGAATGGACGACCTACAGAAAGTCAACCTACCCTGATTGAGGGCATCCGGGCGAACGGACGACCCATATCAACTCTGGGAGTCTCCAGACGACGAGTGCCACCGGTCGAAACTCCACTGTGTCACCCAGCGAAAAGCCCTAAGGCAGCGTTCATCGTCACGGTGTTCGGCTGAAGCTGCTCCTGGCATCGAGCGAGATAGGGATGAATCACGGTGAAATGGCCTGGGGCCTGAGTGTTGCAACGAAGAACCACCGGGGTGGAAAAAAGCCTTCAAAACTGGAGTATGTTGGGGTCCCCAAACAAATCAAACAACTGGTTTCTCGGATCATATCAAGAATCAACATCTTGGATTCGCAGCTCCCTCTCTTGCGGAAAGAAAACACTCCGAAACACATTGGCCTCGACTGGCTTGGTCAAGGGCTCCCGAGAAGTACCAAACTCCAAATCCCAAGCCTACTGATCCATGAGTATTTCACAGTCTATACAAACCACTTGGATCCTCATGGTTTGATTTGTGGTTTGCTTGTCCAACGAGGATCTCCAAATCACCTCAAATCTCCACTCCCTTGAACCAATCCATCCAAGTGATTGGTCACCGAAAACCGTCCATGTGGCCCACGTCCATCCACTTCCGTCCATCGCCGGGAGCGTCGTTCCGTCCGTGTCATGGGTCCGCCCCACAGGGTCCGGTCCACCACCGGATTCGTGGGCGAGTGAATGATTGGGGGGCTGAATCCGGAAGAACCCTTCCTTTTACTATTCAGACTACTACAACACCAGGTCCACAATCTCTGAGATACGAAAACATGGAAGCGGAGAATGGGCCAAAAAGCACCGGGGGGGTCCACTTCCAGGGTGACGTGTTCGGAGTGTGGTCCGTGAAGGCGGGTGCCGAGCTTGTTACTCATGTCCTAGTAGTTAATGGCCAGTAGTTAATGGCCTCCAACCTAGTAGCTTCTTATAAAGATTCAGAAGACAATTTGAGAAAGGAACAAAGGGTATAAGAATCTGGACAATCGCCAGTACCAGCTCCGCCACTGCCAGCTCCACATCCCCACAAGTTCGATGCTTTTGCCGAACTCTTCATCCCCGATCCGTCACTCGCGGGCGTCTCGCGACCGCGAGGAGGTCAGGCCAAAACGGAACGAACATCGGGCAGCGGTCTGGAAGCAAATGAAAGGAAATGAGAACACCGCAATGCTACTAAATCACATCTTTTTGAGGTCTAAAGTCGACCATTTCAACTGGTCTGACTCAATGACCCGAAAAGGAAGTTCCTCCAAACACTTTGGTGGTGCCAAATATCGTCTACCAAATAGATCTATATATGTTTTTTCCCCACCAACCCATCCAACACGACATGACATCCTAGTTCATCAATGATCCCGCTCTATTCCCACCTGTTTTCTACTTTTAGGCTGCTGTTTGCGTTGTATCCTGCAGTTTAACAACTGCTTTCCTCTCTGTTCCAACTTCATTCCCACTTTTTCCCACCTCATTCCCACCTGTTTTGCGACATGCTTACCAACTTGGTGGGTGCCATGCCATGCGACAAACAACCGCAAGGTTGCTGTGACTGCACAATTCGCAGTGGAACCCCGCTCCCAACACAAGAAATATAAACCTCTGCTTCAAGGAAAAGTGCAGGAATTCGCTCCTGCACTTGATAGACTCACCACTCCAGTCACCACTCCAGCTCCGCTCCGCTCTCAACAAGCGCGGGCTCCGCCTTTTGCATCACATTCAGCAGACGTTCCACCACCTCCACCTTCAAGGGATCCTCATGTGCCGAGGGTGCACTGTCACAGGAAAAGAACGTGACCCGAAACGGAAGCAGAAACTTTTCGGGATGTCTGCATAATTCGCGCGTGTGTGAAACCCTTGGATTCAGGGGGGGCCTCTCGGTCATTTTTCTCTTGATTTTAGCAAGGGGCACAGGCCCATCGTGGATACCTGTGCCACCCATCGTGGATACCTGTGCCAACGACGTTTGCGTTCGTGGTCACCCAGCGTTCGCTGCCCTTCATCCGTGTGCGCCAACAAAACGGGAGGCTAGTCTACCCAGTTCGTCTCAGTAGACGAAAAAGAATGTTTAAAGACTGTACCAAATAACCGTCGAAAACGGCCCAGAAGAAATTAGTATATGTTAAAAAGAAAACCTGTCTTCTTCTACCCGAAAAGGGTCGAAAGCACGCGCGGTCGATTTCGCTCGCTCGCACGGTCCATCCTTTCGGTCCAGTCAGCGATCCGTCCGACCGCTCGTGGCGGCGGCGTGGCTCGCCTGGCGAAGGGCACCCAGCGCGCTGTTGTAGCACTCCACGGAGGGCGGAAGCTTCTTCTTCTGGACGCAAAGCAAAACACGGACGGCGCGCGGCCGCCACCGGAAGAAGCGCGTTGAAGAACTACCAACTCCACAGGATCGTGGGTCAAAAGAGATGGAGAAAAAAAAACACCGGTGACCCAAAAAAAACAAAACCGAACCATATGAAATGACCAGACCATGGTTTGGACCTACTGGTGTTCAAGGAGCTGGTTTTGACCCACTGCACAAAAACAGTTTGGAAACACTCCGAAGGTGGCTTTGCACTCCTGTTTCAAGATCAGTCTAAGGAAAAGGAGCTTGAAGGTGTGTGAGTTTGGGTTGGTCCAAAACATCATGTTCAAAGGGTGGTCATGAGGGATATCAAGCCAATCATCTTTGTCTTTTGAGTTTGCATCTGCAGAAAAGGCGCCCATGCTGCATGTGTTCAAGAGAAGAAGCGAACTAGGAGTAACCTCAGCTACTCTAAGAAGTGACCGAGCAAAAAAAAGGAACCTCCGCTGTGGGGGTGACGGTGAGGTGAAGATAGGAGAAGTATGGAGAAGTACAGTATGTCTTTTCCCAAAGAAGCTGCTGAAACCCAGGTTTCTTATTGGTGTCCGAAACTGGGTGAAGCGAAGAAGACGGAGGCGTGAAGACGGAGTCGATCACCTCATGAAGTGTGCGACCGATACCGCATCCATCCCAAATGGCAACCATTTGCAAAAGAAAGAAGGAGGCGAAACAAGAATCACAGCTCATGTTTCATCATGAAACCAATGGTGGCCACCCAGTTTTGTTTCCTCATCGACGCCACCCGGTTTCATCATGTTTTCATGTATCCCAAGTGTTTCATCATCCCGCCTTCATGGAGGTCAATAGCTTTCGCGCCATCCTGTGCAAGTGACCGGGAGCGTTTCAAGGGAACTAGCATGCTGCATGGCTGACACGGACTTTGGGCGGGTCTTCCGAAATCCCCAGATGTTGAGAATCTCAATGATTCATGTAAATCATCCTGTCTTTACATGCCGATATGTAGTTGCAAAGGAGGAAAATTGTCTTCTAATCGGGATGATGGCACGCTCGCGTGTGTTGTTGGGAGTGCCACAGACTGTGCACCACTTCACTTCAGCCGCTTTAAGGAACGTGGAACGTCGGAGAAAAAGATAAAGAATCCTGTCCTCCACATCAACTCATGGTCGGTGGTTTCATTTGATTCACTTGTTTTGCATTCCCCGAATTCGCGTGAGTCCCTCGCTTCTTCTTGGAGCCGGGCCCGCCCTGGGCAGACAAGCCGCAAGCACAAATGGCGTACTGAGCGAGGCAGATGGGGAAGATTCAGCAAGGCAGAAATTCAGGTAACCAGGAAGGATATTGCTGCTTGTGGTCAAGTCTTGGTGTCCAAATCAACATCCCCTCAACACGACGCACGAACCATGATGATTCGATTCAGTATCCTGTACAGAAAATTCATTGCAGGAATCATCTTCCCCCGGGTTGATTGGGGTTCGACGTGTTTGACCATCTGTGGGATCAGCCTCATGTGCAGCTTTACGAGGAGGAAACCCCACTACCCCCAAGAGGATGGACCAAAAGCAGCATGGAAAATGTCGCAAGAGAAGCATGCAGCTTCAATCCCTCAAAATCGCAAGTGATTCGCTTCTTGGCAGAAAGCAAGCCCCTTTTTGTTGAGCGTTCATCCAAAAGCAATTCGACCACATGATGAGCATGAGTGTTTTCAAACAGGGTACGTTAAAGGAACCTCCCGGAAGGCGGTTCCCAACAGCTTCGCTGGGGTCCAGGGAGTCGGGCAAAGATCCAGACCTGCTGGTCTCCCTCCAGTTCCCAGCCGTCCCAGCCCCTGAAATTCCCGGCCCAGCTGATTTCATCGCCTGGTTCGACCGAACCACCCTTGGTTCTACGGACCTTTTTTTCACCGACCCAACTCGGTTCGACGTTTGAGAACAAGGGCTCCAAAGTGAGGAGCACCTCGGTTCAACTGCAGCTCTGAGAAAAAGCGTTCCCCCTTGGGAGTAGAGCAGGTCGAAGAAGGTTGAGAAGCTCTGACGGGTCAGCCCTTGGACCTGGTATGTTTCAACCATTTCCTTGACTGCTTAAGAGGCAGATGTCGAAAAACGAGGTCGAAGACTTAATTCGTAATGCAAAGGCGCGAGCAATGGCAGGTATTGCCTGCCAAATTCGCGAGCAATGCAAAAGAATGACTGCGGACAAGTCCTCCTCGAAAGTGGACTCATGACTGGACTAGGCCCAGGCACTCTCAACCACCAGACTCGGTGCTCTCGATGCATCGGACACCACGACTCTACCGCACCGACGCACGCGGTTTCGTCGACAAGGAGCATTCCACAGCTCCACGTCGGGTTCCACCTTCAAGGCAGGCGCCGCGTGCAAGAGCTGCAGCGCCTCAGTGAGAAGTGCGCCGAAAGCGACGAAAAGGGCGTTGGTACAATGGAAGTCTCTTCCCAAAACAAGGTCTGGGTGGCCATAACATGCCAAAAGATCTGGCCAACCAAGCTGAAAGTCTTCCCATGACAGTCACCTTTTTCCAAAACAACCGGCCATCTACATGTCTGGGAGAGTGCGCCGTGTGGATCAGAAGGGGGAGGCGGGACCCGAAAGAACTCGCTCCATGGTCTTCGATCAAAGGGATCGTCATCTGGAAAAATGACTCGAGAATTCCAGGTGAATCAAAAGGGTGTCCAATGGGCGTTCAATGGGCACGGTTTCGATCTACCTGGTTTGTGTGGTGCTGGTTCAGTACTCATTGATGTGGGGGGAAAGATGTGATCATACACTACACCGCTTTCGGATCCATGTCCAGAATGGATTCGCTTTTCTATCTGTCATGGAACTGCTTCTCTGTTCACCCTTGCACCCGTTACACCTCCACAAGCAGGTGCTTCACTGGTCCTGTGTGTCCTTTATGGGGGCCATGGTATGACATGTGACAGGTGTCCCAACAGGAAACCGAAAACAGATGAAAACAGCTTGGGTTTGCTGTCCAGGAACAGGTGAAAATTCAAATCTGCAAAGCAAAAGATCACCCAAAAGCAACAAAATAAACCAGACACCCAAAGTTGCACGCAGTGTTGCACCCGCACCCGTGCCTCTTCCATAGGCCGATGGGCCCCCACCAGAAGAACCCGCCTGGGATCCCAACTCTTTGCCATTCAAGACCTCCAAACCGATGTCTCCAGGGCCGCGAAGCCGCGACATGGTCGGACCCCACGCGCCTCCCCCCTTGTTGGCGGCCGTACGGACCGAAACGACGGGGAAACCGGGTACAAGACGTTCTTTATTCCATGATTCCCGCGCAGAGGCAACCCTGAAAAGCCCATTTACAACACACATGTTGGTTTGGTCCAATAGCCTCTTAGTCACTAGTGACTAGTGGTCCCTGACAGACGGCTTCCGTCCTTTTGGCTTGACCTACCTCTTCACTCACCCAGATCAGACATCTGGAAACACGCGGATTCCTGCACCGTCAACAACCCCATCCTGCAATAGATGGGTTTCCAGGATGAAGACATTGTAGGGACGGACTTGTTTGCAACTTCAACATCAACCAAGCCAGCTCGATCACGAGCCCAATAATAAGGACCCAGAAGCCCTTTGACTCAACACTGTGGCATCGCAACCCGCTTGGGCAACCAGACTAACAAGCAGTATCCACTCCTGCCCACATCTAACACACCCTCAAATTGTCTTCGTTATCTGTCAACCGCGTGTGGATAGTGGTACTGGATGGTCGTAAGAGACAGTAGTTACGTTCCGATTCCATCCAAAAGTCCAAGTTTCTTGTAATTATGCATGCAAGTTGTGGCCTCCGCCTTTCATGCTGCGCCCCTCTTCACCAAAGAAATCCTGCCTCTTCTTGAGCTTCCCAGCTGTCCCTGCCCGTGTCTTCCACCGAACACATCATCCCCACCATCGTCTGGGATGCAACCCGCGCGCGTGTTTGTCACCCACACGCGCCTTCGCCACAGGCGCAGAGTGCGCTGCTCAGCGCCAACATCGAGACGCCGCACTCCTCCTTCATCCGCCGCAACCTCCGCCGGAACTGATCGAACAGGCGACCGAGGGGGTGGATCTGACCGAACAGGCGACCGGTCGACTGGTGGGGGCCACGGGGGCACCGGTGGGGTGCTTGGCTGGAGGAAGAGGCTGACATGCCGAAAAAGGGCCTTTCATGATAATACCAGTACAATAGAAAGTGCACAAAGGAAGGTGGTATATTGATGGGGATGCTCCTGAACGTAGCAGTTCACTGGCTAAGGTGTTCTTCTACCTAAATGATTCTGCTTATGAGACCCTTTGTGTAGCTTGCAGTGATTGACCAAATGCCCAAGATTCCGCCAGAGAGGTGATTCATGACCCTCCAAGCTTGAACTTGAAACCACTTAGAATTGTTTGTTTCACTGAATAGTGGAAGTGACCACAACACATCCGATCCATTCTGTGACCAGAACTTCACAACACATCCGAGGTCAACCTCGAAGACTCGATCCAATCCGCTATGGCCAAAGCCCTGCCGATGGGTTTCCCCATCCGAAAAGTGAGGCCGCAGGGGGGAGCGAAATCGTCTGCGAAGTCTGGTGGATGTGGGGACCAGAAGAGAGATGATCAGATGATATACGATTTTATATATTTTATATATTTTATGTAGTATATATGTTTAAAATATGTGCCTGGGCCTAAAAGCCTAGCGTTTTTGGAAACATCCCCACTTTCTCCGAAAGTCTCAAGCCTCAACTCACAATCGAACAATCCTTCGTTCAGGCTTCATGTCTCCCTACAGTTGCCAAAAGAACCGCAAGCGTCCTTGCTCCTAGTAGCGATGCCCTTTGTTACAAATGGCGTCCTTGCTGCTTCAGGTGTTCCGACGAAACCGCGGCAACTTCAATGTGTCAGCTGAGTAGCAGCTCGAGAGCGGTCGTCCACCTGGGACGCCAAAAAACAGCAGCAGGGTGGCCTTCAACCCACGAAAACACCAACGCATTCCCCACGAAACCATGGTTGAAGGTGGGGTGCCATGCTCGTAGCATGTCGTAGCTCACCTTGCAGTGTAGTTCTGGTAGCCGACCAACTCGACCCACCGGTTGCATGGTGCGACGACGACGATCCGAGGGTGAAACGTGGGAGCAAGGGAGCGAGGGCGAAAGGAAGTGAAAGGAAGACCAAACGGCAAACAAGACAAGACCAAGTTCAACAAGACAAGAGTTGGTCAGCCTTCATTTCACCACATGTCACGACATGTCAGCCAAAACCAAACCAAACTCATGAACCGAACTCAAAACCGTGATGAAAAAAAGAACATCCTTCACTCTGAGGCCTTCCCGCCCATCTCTAGAAACATCCCCACAATGGCATGGGATTAGAAGGCAGGGCGAACACTGAAACTGGAATGCTGAAACGACCTCCAAAGACAATGACAGTGATCCCGAAATAGAACACCAAAGGATGTCCGAGACTCAGAGACTCCGGCCTCAACAGGCAATGTATGTGCTTAAAACATACTAAAACTTCTAGAATGTACCCCTTCTTCAAGCATGAATGATTCAACAAACCACTGCCGGATACCCCAGGCCAACATCTGTGGTTTTTTGGGTCCGGCACACTTTCCTCCACGTAAACTGGTCCAAGTAACTCTTTGGCCGAAGCACAGCAGGCGATCGCCTTGCCATACATCACATCGTTCACCGCCACCTGTCGCAGGCGACTGTCCTCCAGCAGCTGCAAGGCTCTCAACCACCTCAGGAGCGCTTGAGTCGTGGTCGCACGGACGAGCTGCGCGTGGTGCGGAGGGCACCGGTCTGTGCGGTTGGGGGGTTGGGCGGTGTTTTGCTTGCTGCAGAGTCACCCATCATCTATAGGTGACTTTATCAAGATGTAAACTCCAGATATCCTGTGGGTAAAGTCTCCTACATGATATGGAGTAATGTGCCTGTAAAGCTTTAGGAATGATGTGTCTTTGTGTGGCTTCCGATCCCACCTGGTTTGTACGTCGGATGTGACATGATGTGACTCAAGACACATAGATTGACCCGTAGGTTCACCCGCCTACCACCAAGACCAGTTGGACCCCGAGACCGATCGGCTGCGGAGACCGATCGGCTGGGTAAGACCTTGTCGGCTGGGAGACCACGAGCCCTGCGACGACTGCTCTCGCGAAGCACCGCGAAGCGCGGATGCAAACACAGTGACAGCAGGAAGCTGTGATGACCACTGCCAGCACATCGTTGCCCTCTTGGGCTTCTGACAGAGTGGGAAATGAAGGTTGTCTTTTGGAAGATGTCTTTTCGGACTAACTTCCACAACATCCCGGCCCAAAGGTCATGCAGTCATGGGATCGTGTATGTCATGTCTTCCAAAAGACCCATCAACAACCGCTCAAGTCTGAACGCAGATCCTTTTCTGTCACAACACCATCGAACATCGACGCAAGAACCGCTCAGCTAGGCCACCCGTGATCGTCCGAACCGTCTCCCATCAGCGCTGCATACCTCAGCCATGGGGTCGATTGAGAGATGCACATCGATGTGCGTGAGGCTATTGCGCCGAGAGATGACCGGTCCACGAGCAAATGAACATATCCTGCACAATTAGACCCCAACACAGTTTTGGCAGGAGCTTTTTCCCTAAGATAGAGCCCTGGGGGAAGAACAACCAAGCGACAAAAACGGGTCTTGAAATTGCAAGCTCGAACTCCGGCACTCCCAGGTTCGAGACGGCGTCAGGCTGCTCTGCTCTCGCAAAAGACGTGTTCATCGCGGATTTGTTGCGTCCCAACAAAGAAAATATTAGCAAGTAGACTAGAAAAAGGGAATAGTTTTTTTGCACGCTGACGGTTCTTTTCCGTATGCTGGAGGGTGGCGGGTGTTTTTTGTATGCGGCAGGTGTTTTTCTTATGCGGCCGGTTTTGTTTCCAAATCTACAGGAATTACCCTCCCTGCAAATCCCTTCCAGGGGCCTTTCTCCACTTCCATGAGTTGCAGGGGAGGGTAGACTGCCAGTCCCTTGGTCCCCAAGCACATGCTCGTTGGGCGCGATATTGCGCTCGATCATCTCCTGCGCGATCCGTGCGAAAGCAGCAGCGCGATCCGTGCGATGCAAAAGCGGAGGAGGAGGAGGAGGAGGAGCAATGAGTCATAGGGTTATCCGAGTCCAATTCGTTACGCGGCGGCTCCAAGATCGGTGCTTACTAAAAACACCTTCGGTGAAACCCATCTACCTTGATGTTTCTCTCGGTTTCTCACATCTGGAAGGTGGCCTCACCCTAAGGGCCCTAGGGATCCCTAGGGTCTGTTCTTCCCTATGTCACCACCCCGGGGGTCCAAACATGTCCAATCAGCACCTGTTGGAAGCTCTGGGTCTGCTTTCCCGGTCTGGACTCTGGCGTCAAGCCTTGAAGAGCTCATAGGCCTTCGCCAGCTCTCCCAACCTGCGAGAGCTGACGCTCTCGTGCGATGGAGCGGCGGTTTGGGTGGCACTCCTCCGGTTAGAACCGGGTGGGGGATGGGTGGGGTGTGAAACTGAAAGAATGCTGAAGTACAGACAGACCAAGTAGGTGACCTGCCATCTTTCACAGCACAGACCGGTACCTTTGTCGTTCCATGTGCCACACGCAAACCGCACACCGCGCACACAAACATGATCCCAATCAACGCCATTTGGGGGGCCCATGTCTGTTCCTGCGAGCCGATTCCTGATTCTGACTCACTCAGTTTTTTATGGAAAGAACCATCTCCACCTGTGCCTGTTTTGTGGGGTGTCCCCAAAACCACCAAGAAAACTTATAGGATCTTAAAGGTCATCCACTGGCTCGGTCATGTATACAAAAGAATCCCAAAAATAAAACTTCTACTACCTAGACCTTCCTGTCGAGATGTCTATGTCCATAGCCTCGTGTAGGTGATAACAGTGATGACCGGGGTGTCCCAAAACCACCGGACGACGAACGGAAGGTCCGTGACATAGAGGTGATCCGCACGAGATCCATGAGATCCGGCACCCAGAGCTGGGAGACTCACCCGGATAGAGCTTGGAGACTGAGCTCGGCGTCCACCCTTGGCTTACTCATGTTCGGTGGGAAAAACCAAAGGGCTTACTCACCCGGAGGTTGAAAGACCCACTGTTCTGCCATATGATCCCAGTTCCGTTTCACAAAAAGCGGCATCCCAAAGATCGACCGTGGTCTACCGCTTGTTTTCATTGTGAGACGGATGTGGGTCAAAACTGGGGCACCCCGGTTTTCTCGCCGGCCCGGCGTCGGGCTCAATCAACAAATGCCTCTTCGGGATGTCAACCTTCCATGTCCTCGCGACTGTGGGGAAGGTTGGGTTCTCCACAATCGCGAGCGAGAAAAAACAGTGATCGGCACTCTGCGTGTCACTGAGTCACTCTGGTCTCCCTATGAGAGCAGCCACACTACTGCTCATGTTCTCTGGGGTTCTGCCTACTCAGGTCTCCCTATCATGCTCTCTGGGGTCTCTCCGCGTGCCTCATTGATCACCTCACACTGTTGCCACACACCCTTGAGCCGCGCCTTTCAAGCGCAATCATCTGCACCTGAGCGTGGCCAAACACTCGCGAGGCTGAAGCTGGCTGAGAGACACATATACAGGATATGGGTATCACGATTGCCTCATGAATCATGATTGCCTCATGTGATCTGGCAGAGGGTTCAACATCAAACATCCTCCAATCATTGAATCGGTTCACATATCTGGTTTTTTGTTAATGTTGTTCATGTTTGGGATCGAAAAGGGGCCAAAGAACCATGCACAAATTGAGAGGATTCATTTAGCCGAAATTCCATTTGCAAACACGTGCGCATTCCAGGACTTGTGGAGTCTTTCCCTAATTAGATGCCATGACAAACCTCCCATGTGCATGGTCATGAGTCATGCCATGTCGTGTGGAAACCTCGCATCATCTTGCTGTCTTATGCCGGCCTCTATCAAAACTTGGGGATGTCCTGTGTTGCTAACAGCGCTCAAAGACTGGGAGAAAACATCGATTTACGCCAGCTGTCGCGCCTCTCGACTTTCGTTCGCAAGAACCGCCTTGCAAAACTGCCAACCGCCTTGCATGGCCATGCATAAAAGGGTCGCAGTCGCGTCTAGATGTATCGCAGTCGAGTGAAGACAGCAGCGTGCAGGTGTCACGTGCGGCGGACCCTGGCATGCCATGCAACCTGAGTGTGCGGCCCCTCATCCTTTGAATCTGAAAAGCTGATTTTCCAGAGAGCGAGCAATTGTCAAGTGGCTGCAAGTGACTACTACTTCTGTCCGGAGAATATCATAATTTCCCCCCGCGCGCTCCAAGGATGAAAACCCGGACTTCTGCAGAGCTGGCGGCGAAGAACTCTTAATATTCTCCACGAATTTACACGAAGAACTCTGAGTAATCTCCAGTGACTTGGCAGCTGCTTGCGAGCTTTTTGGTTGCAAGTGGCCTGCATGTGGCTGCCAAGTGGCTGCAAAATGGATAATCAAAATGTGCACCTCCTGTGAGCTCAATGTGATCAGATCTTCAGTTTAAGGTGCAGTGCAATAGTGTGCGCGCATGATTCCGCTATAACGCTATAACAATTTATGTCAGGAACAGTATGCGTGGGTGAATGCAAACAACATTGCCACCCTATCACCTGTGCTTCAATGTACACCTGTGACAACTTCAACTTCTTGCGCATATCTGGCCAAAGTGGTGCAATTCAAGCACCAAATACATACGACATGGTTTTGGTGCAAACCAAAGGGGTTGGCAGCACCACAGCGTTGGCCCGGTTGGCCCAGCACCTAAGAGGCTTTGTGTCATTCAACTGCCCTCATACCACTGCATGCTCGAGCGGTCATAGAGGTTTCCTTTGCGAGACAAACCCACCTTTGGAGACGATGTTCGACAAAGAGAAGCAGCTTCGCGAATGGTAGAAATAAACTGGACATCAACGTCCCATAGTTTGATGGCCTAAAGCCTTACCAAATGCACCAGATGCCCAGGTGCCAATAGCAAATGCGTTTGCATAAGCACTGCATGAGCTGCATGGGTACCGGGTATGCGGTGTAGCGTGATGGTCTTGAGATGTTTGTCTGTACAGAACGGGATCTGCGCGAAACGCACAAAAACAGCACAACCCAGCACGAGGTGGGAGTCATCTAGTCCCAACAGTCTCAACCCCTGCTCTGAGTTGCGAGGTTCCTCCTGCGAAAAGGGGGCACTGTGTTCTGTCCGCCTCGTCGCGCGCTTCTTCTCCCATGGTCACTGGTATCTGGGTCACCCAGGCAGCATAGCCATAGGCATCTGGCATGGCACTACCTGGCGTCTTCCGGCTGCTTGTCGGGTCTTCCAGAAGACTCTGGAATGACCTTATAGTCTCGTGGTCACTGCTCTGCAATGGTTGGTGGTCTAGATGACATTAGGAAACAAAGTGTCGTGAGATCAAGATGACGGACACCTTGACATCAGATAGCATCCCACATCTACAGTAGATGTCGGGTATATCCCAGTCCCTGTAACAGTGGATGATGGGACACCCCCAAGTTTTATGGCGTGTGGGCCAGGGGTCTTGGACTAGTCGGAAGATGTGGGTTCTTAATAAGATGAGGTGTTTCTAAAGAACTCTAGATGACCTACTTGGATTTGCTTAGAGAAAACGAACTAAAAATTTCCCTCAGAAGAGGATTTATCCATAGGTAAAAATGAAACATCACCTGGTCAGCCCACCTATGGACCTATGGGCGAGTTTCTATTTTGGGGAAGTGAGGGAAGAGGAGGCTCGTTCACGAAAGTGCGAGGGTTCTCCTACATGGTTCCTGCTTGGTCTCAGCTTCTGGAACCAAACAGGATGGCAAATGAGGTGAGCAAAAATCACACCGAAAACCCTCATTCAAAACTGTTTGCCACATCTTGCCGGACAGCGTCGCCGCCACGCGTCCCAGCCGTTGAGCACCAAAATGAACAGAATAGACTTAAAAGGAATTTGGGGGGATGCCATCGCCAGTAGGTTGGAGGCCATCGCTCTTAGGTTGGAGGCCATCGCCAGTAGGTTATTGGAAGCTGATTGGGGGGCTCCATGCCATTGACCCATACCTCGGATCTCTGTCCAGACCAGGAGAGATTCTCTCGGCGTGTGACTTGAACCGGCTTAGGCTCCGCCCCGATGCCGGCGTCCTCCCAGGCCCCTCGTCGCTGATCCCAGCTGACTCGGACGAAAAGGGATGAAAAAGGGCAACTCGTCCGCGTCGTGGGGTGACTAGCGAGCTCGCTGAGATGGATCCATGTCATTCCATTTCAACAGGTTCTCAACAAGAGCTGTTCCAACATCTGCAGGAATAGCTATCATTTTCACCAACGAACATGTTCCAGGACGACTCGGGTCTTTTCCCACGACCGGTGATGCTTCCAACACCCACACCCCTTCCCGACCTGAGCGTCGCTCGCTGAGTTCCAGCCTGAGCGCTCGCTGAGTGGGTGCGTCACTTGGAAGAGGGATGAGTCGCCTCTGGCAGAATGGTTGCATTCTGAGTCACTAACATGGAAGTGGTTTGGTTGTCCTGACCCCTCATCTTAAACTACTTTCTATAGGAAAACACGGGAAAAAATAGACTCTACATAACCCTACGAGTCCAAGGACCAAGTTCAACCTGGTCCTTGACCTCCTTGAGTACTGGTTTTCTATGACCATCTCCAGTAAAATGAGGTCTTTGACTTGTAGGCCCCCTTCCTAGTTCGTCAGACGAGTCGGCGGCCGACGAACGGTGAACGTGCATGCAGATTGAGAGGATTGACCATGGCTCACATAGTTTCTCAGGGTTCGGTATGACTGGACGCATCCAAGTGTCGAATACATCACCCTCTTTCGAGGAGGCTAGCATATATGGATCCATAGGGCATGATTCTTTCTTTGGGATGGCCGTGGGCCTACCCCGACTCCTGCACAAATCCAGCTCGCAGCCCTTCATAGTGTTGGGTTCTAGAGTTTGCCAGTCTAGAACCAAACTGGGAGGAATTGACAATTGACTGGAACAGGTGTGGGGAAGGCAGGTGAGGTTGAAGTACATGGGAGAAGTGTTTGGGCATCGAGGACTATACGATCAGGTGTGTTTGTAGGGTACGAGGAGAGTCTTGGTATCCACTTACTATTGAAGGAAGAAAAACTATCCAGGCACGTCTTGATTGGATCTTTGGTGCAGAAGCCCACTTTCGTTTGCAAGGCACAAGCTGGACTTGAGTTCTTCATCCAGTCCTCTGTGGGCTGCATAGTTTCTGTAAAGTTACACTTGAAATGCCCAGGATAAGGAAATGAAACTGTGGTACATTCGGTTGCCACTGACAGTTTCAAGTAAAGACCCCTCACATATCCCAATGAATCTAGAGACCATGAATGAAGTCACCCTTGTTGGTGTATGAGCACCTGCCCTGACACGGTGTTCGTAACCATTTCATGTCTTCCAGAAATGGATTAACTCCCCGGCGAAGCGGAGATGATGGTGGCTTGTAAATAGGCTTGATGCCCGGTTGTGATCGACTTTGACAGTCATTGGAATATGCCTGGAACACGGGAGCCTCAAATTAGACAAAGCTCTGTTGTGAGCACAGTACACGAAGAAGATGTTATGACATGTGAGGAGTCCTAAGAAGCAAAACTTGAGAAGAAGAACCAAGACTTAGGACAACCGGGTGTTGTTGGACTGGTTGGTCTGAACCCCGGCCCCAAGCACTGAGGCGAGATTCGACAAAAAAAGGCATCTGCGATGCCTTTTGGAACTACCGGGCACTCCGGGAGAAGAGCTGATGGTCGGTGGAATCTGGAGGTCAACTGTCAACTCATCCGGTCGTCTCGAGACCAAGGACCTGATCGCACCAAGGGGAGGAAGACGACTACCACTTGTCTCGCAGACCTGTTCTACCACAAAATGCGAGAGAGTCCACCCAGGAGTGGTCTGGAAAAGCACACGAAGTATTGCCATCCGATTGGTTCGACGCCCGATCTTGGACTAAGAGCACCACACTTTGCGCCATTGGCCAGCCTCCCAGTCTGCCACTGTTTGGTGCGGACTTGTCTAAGGGATGCTTTTTCAAGTACCGACGCTCGGATTTGCCATCCAGAAACCAGCAAAAAGTTACAGTACAGTGAACATATTCTACCATGCGACGTGCTGGCTGTTCGCAGCAACCTCCTGCCCCTTGATTCACAGTGGAAACGGAGTACAAAAGGCTTGAAAAATGATGAAAATTGTACCAAACCTTCGCCAAAAAAGAGCTGCTGACACGAGCCACGCTCCGAGGTTGATGACCCGAGCCTTCAGACCCATTTTGGTGGAACATAGGGCCCTTCTTTTGGGGGTAAATGTCCTCCACAAAGTGCTTACTAGCTGACCGCTTGAGATCCCAACAGCCATGTGGGTGAAAAAATCACATGGGGAACTTCCAACAAGTCCTGTCTCCCAGTTACGTTCCCCGGGACGCACAAATGGTCAATTGACGCCCCTAAACCATCCTAAACCTGTATAAGGTTACTTAGAATGTACTCACTATTAACAGACACCCCTTAAGAATCCTTAAGAGGGGTCCTGGTGGAGGTGTAGTCCACTTGTCCTTTACAAACGTGGGCAGAGATCCTCCACTGTCTTCTCCAATCCCCTTCGGGATGCACCCACCGCCTTGCCCCGCGCCCCGCTCGCCTCGAGACAGGCACGCCGCGCCTCGCCGAGCATCCTCGGTGGGCTTCGGGCGTCGTGCCGAGGTCCCGCCCAGAGGCGGCAAACACCTGAGGTCTTGAAGCTGAGAAAAACTGCCACAGGAACACCGAAGCACTTCGGGGCCGGCAGCTGGATCGGTGGACGAACCATCAACGTGGACCACTCACGGAATCCGATGACCACGTGCACCCGAACCATGCGCGGTCTTCCACCAAACCCGAGGAGTTTTTCGGGTCGACCATGTTCTGGCTTGATCACTCGGGTCTGCAAGAATTGGTCAGGTTCTCAGCTACCACTGTCTCAAGAACCGTTCCCTTCTTCCCAGCCACCACGTCTTCCCATTGGTCGGTCTTCCAAGCCGTTTCGGTCAACCCGATGGTTCCCTTCGGTCAACCCGCGAAACCGGTCGAAGAAGCGGGCGGGCGGCCAAATGGAGAGGTCTCCCAGATCTAAAAGCAATCCTCTAACCCTCCTGGACCTCTTCGACTCGGACTTTTTGATGGACTCACTCACTTTCGACCTCTTCAAAACCGAAGACCTGTTCGCCTAGCACCTGGGTGTCAAATCCTTCGGCCGTCTTCTCTTCTGGTAGCGAACATCGCATCCGGACCCTCACAAGCCCCGGGGGCATTTGTGGCGCTATCTCGGCCAATTCCCTCGGAACTCTTCATCGACCGATGTAATGTTGGAGAAGTAGACTCCCTCCAAAACTGACCAAGTCACTTCAGTCCCAACATTCAGTCACTTCAATCTGCAAACCAAAACACCGTGCCCACTCCCTACAGGTCGAACCTTTTTTCGACCGGGTCCTTGGACTTGTGACATCTCTCCTTCCTGCCAGCAGAATGCTGAGACTGGGCCCTGTTGCTTGGCATCAGCGCCAGAGAAACGTGCGTCCACCTGGCGTGCGTGCGGAGAAAAACACCGCCCCAGTCCTCGAGTGGGCCATGCAGGACCGCCAGTTGGACGACTACGACTCGACTCGCCAATGTTGGATTCAGTTGATGGGCTATGACCTGGTTGTGAAAGGACCTGCAATCCATCCGAAGGGTTGGATGGGCCATCCAAACTACGTGCGTGCACTTCACTCATCGCACGAGAACTACTTGGGAACTGTCTCGCCACTGTGGGTCGTGTCGAAAACAAGATGTCTTCGACACTCGCATGCAGAACAAAGCAGTGACAACCGGAGTGACAACGGGTCTCTGCTTAGCTGAACAGCATTCCTGCCATTCCTCTTTCGAGCGTCTGCAGGCTGACAAGCCATGAAACAGTCCATGTGTGTGTGTGTGTTCATGGCAGACGCATGCGATTAACTGGGCAGCTGCGTTCACCATTCAAAATTAAACCAGTCACCATGACGAGGTGCTGCTTTGCCCAAGGAATGGCAAGTGGAACTGCACATT